ATTTGCCACAACCTCGAAAATTCGTTTGCGATCTCACGCCTTTGCTCCGCTTTCTAGGTGCGCAAGCTTTTGGTCGGAACGAAGTGCGATCTTGAGAGCAAGCGTGTGGTGGACAAGGCCAGAGGCCAGCAGGTACTTCGCCTTCTTACAACTTTGTGACCGATTTCTTCTCCTCTTCGTCGGAAATCACTTTGGAAGATTTCGTCCACACATGCATGCTTTTTGCTGACGTGTTAACCACGCCGTTCTGTCCTCCACTTTTAGCTTGCGGATGAGCTGAACGTTCCGTTCGTTGAGACGTCATCCAAGAACTCCACAAACGTCGAGCAGGCCTTCTTGCTCATGGCCAAGGAGATCAAGAACAAGCAGGGTAGGCCTCGCTCTTCTCTTTCTAAAGCCTCTCATCTGCGCTCTTTCTTTGCTCTGCGTCTTCTGTACTTACTTGGCTTGGTCGTGCCTCATCGTGTAGGTCCTCCTCCTGCTGCCTCCACCCAGAAGAAGGTCGATCTCAGCGGACCCACGACCCCTGTGGGCGGCGACAACGGCGGCTGCTGCTAAGTGTGAGTTCCCAGCCGGAGGCGAGCACTGCACACAAACGAAGATGTGAGGGTGGTGGAGGAGAACACCTGGGAAAGGAGGAGGGACCCAAGGGAGCTCGTTCCATCCATCGAGGAAACAAACAAACAACAACTTGGACATACTTTCGTAAGAAGTTCTTTTTTTTCTCGGGCCTGCAAAACAAGTTATTGCATTTATTTATTCTAATTAGCACGAAAAAGAAAGGAATTATTTGTTATTTTTCTTGGCTGTCCATCAGAGCAGTTGGCGTCGAAGGAGGTCCAACGTTGCTGGAATAGAAGACCCGAGCGAGAAGATGGAAGAGAAGGAGGTGGCGTTGGGCGAGTGGCGTGTGCAGCTGTCACTACTCCCGCAGGACAACGGCGGTGGTCACCTTTCGGTTCGCGTGCAGCTGGCCACCCCCCTTGGCAGCACAACCACTACCACCATCATACCGTTGCCGTCGTTGCTGCACTCTCATGCTCCTACGCCTTCTTCCTCTTCTCCTTCACCCCTCACAAGCGAAACGCCTTCTTCGACCCAAACGGAGCGAAAGCGGTCAAGAGACGACGAAAGCGAAGTCTCATCACTTTCAGAGACCACCTCCTCCACGAAGAAGAAGAAGACAAAGAAGGACCACAAGTGGCCGAGCACAGAGGGCGGTGGGGCGTCGAGAGCGGTGACACTGATGATGGACCTGCCGGACGAGGTGCAGCTCGAGGTGCTGGGCTGGGTGCCTCCCCACGACCTGGCCGCCACGCTGCCGCTCGTGTGCCGCCGCTGGCGCACCCTGGCGCGCGACCCCGCCCTCTGGCAGCGGCTCCACCGCCGACTGCTGGGCACCGCCGGCCCAGCCGCTGCGTCGCCCGACGGGGCCGAGGCCGTGGATCACGCCGGCGATGACGATCGTGAAGATGATGAAGAGGAGGAAGACGACGTTGATGGTGAGGCGAAGGCCAGCGCGGCGCTGGCCGAGCTGCAGTGGGCGTTGGTGTGGATGCCGCGGCAGGACAAGTACCACGAGATCAAGCGCGAGCAGGAGCTGTGGGAGCTCGAGAAGAAGAAATGGATGACGCGGCTGCTGTGGGCCGCGAGCGAGGGCTACCCCGCGCCAGTCCAGCAGAGCCTGGTCGGGCTCGAGCGCCTGACCATGCAGCCGGTGCCGCGCGGCCCTCTGCCGCGGCTCGACGTGCGGCCACCAGACCAGCCACTGCCTCGCTTCACCGCCAAGGACCACGGGCCGCCCATCTACCGCCCGTGGCTAGGCGAGCCCGAGCCCGCGGCCGGGTCCCACCAGATCGACCTGCTCGACCACATGGGCAAGGCCGCGCTGATGGCGGCCCAGTGCGGCCACACGGACGTGGTGCGACTGCTGCTCGATCGCGGGGCCGAGCTGAATCTGGACCTCTTCTGCCACGGCCTCCGCCACGGGTCCCTGGAGCTGGCCGGGCTCGTGCTGGACCGCGCGCCGGCGTCGCTACGGAGCGACAGCGAACTGGCGCTGGAGCTCGCCGTGCGTCTGGCCGAGTGCACGCACACTGCGACGCTCGATCTGCTGCTCGAGCAGCACTTTATCACTCAACACATCTACGACGTGGCTCTGGCCCGCGGCCTGGCCAAGGCCGTGGGCCACAACGACATCGCCCTGGCCAGCGCGCTGCTGCCCGCGGGCGCCAGCGCCAACGCGACCACGGCGGGCCTGCGCAAGCCGCTCCTCTTCAAGGCCGTCGCAAAGGGGATCGATATGGTCAAGCTGCTCCTGGACTACGGCGCGGCGCCGTCGGTGGAGTTCACCACGGGTGGCGGGACGGGCCTGCGCACGCCGCTCGATCGTGCCGTGAGCCGCGGCGCGGTGCACATCGTTGAGCTGCTGCTGAAGCGCGGCGCGGAGCCAAAGGTGAGCGAGGACATGCCGCGGTTTGCCGGCCAGGGCGTCAGCGACTGCCTCACCCTCATTCAGCGCGCCAAACGACAGAGCTTTGTGGACTCGCTCAGGTGTTGAGAGCCCTCAACATCACCACAACGTGTACATTCCTCCCACAGCTCCACTACATTCCACAAATTCCGGGTGCACACTGGGCGAAGAGAAACGCGAAGATGACGCTGGGCGTAGTCCATGATCTCATCCGATCCCGGCTGGAGCAATGATTCCAAACGCACATCTAGCAGGCTGACTGAGACAGCACGTAAAATGATTTCCTACTACGCAGTTGGGCTCTTCGCCGCTTTCATCAGCCTAATATGGCTCTTGTTCATCAAGGTAGCGATCAATCCTCACCCCCTACGTTTTTGGATTACAAGAGATTTGAGTCACATGAGAATCTAACAATTGGGGCACTTCAGAACAACAGCGCTGCGGCCATCCCCGTGCCTGCCGGGCGGCGCAAGCGCGTGTGCGTGGTGGGCACCGGTGCGGCGGGCATGGCCGCCGTGTGGAGCCTCTCGCGCTTCCCCGACCGCTTCGAGGTCGAGGCCTGGGACCGCATGCCGCAGGCCGGCGGCGTCGCCACCTCCGAACCCATCGCCAGCGACGCCAAGGCCAGCCACGACGCCGGCAACGCGAGCACTTTCATCAACGACGGCGTGCAGGCCGCGGCGCCGACCTACCGCAACGCGCTGCTCATGATGGACGAGTTCGGGTTCAGTGGCAGCCCGTTCCACATTACGATCTCCTTCGGCCGGGGCGACCACCACTGGGCCAACTACCGCTCGTCGCCGCTCGTGCGGCGACTGCAGCCCGAGATCGCGCGCTTCGGCCGTGCGCTGCGGTGGATCAACCGGCTCGAGCCGCTGTTCGTGTTCGTGCCCATCCGGCTGGTCCTGCGTGCGCTGGGCTTCAGCGCCGACTTCCGCAACCGGCTGGTGTTCCCGCTCGTGGCGGTCTTCTTCGGCACAGGCAACCAGACGCCCAACGTGTCGGCCGCCATCATCGCGCGCGTCTTTCTCGACGACGACCTGCGGCTGTTCGAATACGACCCCGACACGCTCCTCAGCCAGAAGCCGCTCATGTACGCCTTTCCCAGCCTCGGCCAAGTCTACCGCACCATGCAGCAGAAGCTCGAGTCAACGTCGGCCACGACCGATCAACAGCCACGACGCGCGGTCAAGTTCAGAAACAACTGCACGGTGCGGGAGGTGCGGCGGCTGGCGGACAGGGTGGTGGTGACGGACAGCGAGGGCCACAGCGCCGAGTTCGACGAGATCATCTTTGCGTGCGACGCCGAGCAGGCGCTCAAGATGATCGCCGAGCCCACGCGCATGGAGCGATTCGCGCTGGGCAACGTGGAGTTCTTCAACGACGTCACCGTCACGCACAGCGACCTCGACTACATGCACAAGCACTACGAGCTCAACCTGGGTCCCGATGGCGACCAGTACTTCACCCGCACCGACGAAAGCGACCCCGAAAAGATCGGTATGCGCTATCGTGTGCGGCTGTGCTTGTGTGTGTCGTGTGTGTGTGGTGTGTGTGTCGTGTGTCGCGTCGCGTGTCGTATTTTTAATCAAGGTGCTGGGGACAGAGATGAGCTTCAATCTGTGCCAGTACCAACCGCAGCTGGCCGGGCGCGACCGACAGCAGGGTAACATCTTCCAGACGATCTTCCTCGACGACAACTGCTCCGCGATGTGGACCATCGACGCCATCGACCCGGCCAAGGTGCTGCTGCGCAAGTGGTGGCGCCAGTTCGCCCACACCTGGCGACACTACGCCTTCACCGTGCCGTGGATGCGGTTCGTCCAGGGCCGCCACCGGAGCTGGTTCTGCGGCAGCTACACGTTGGTCAACACGCACGAGATCGCCGTCATCTCGGGTCTCGCGGCAGCTCACCGGGTCGGCGCCACCTACCCCTTCTTCGACCGCGACCCGCTGGCGGCCAAGCAGTTCCGCACCTACATGGGCCTCTCCCACGGCGTCGCCGTCTGACGCCTCCTGTTCACATGCATGTGAAAGCCAAGAGGCCAGACAAACACCACAACACCGCGCCTACAAGTTTCATCAACCACCTTTTAGTCTCAAGTTGAGCACGTCACCAACAACAATGTGAACATTAAATTCACCACAGAGGTCCAGCCACGAGTGGGGCGGGATCATTGCTCTTTGGCCATCTTCGAGGAATGTCGAGAATGAGAATTAATTCATATTCTCCGCATTCCTGAGTTCATTCGCCGCGGAAAGTAGGGGATCGTCCGTGGGGCGTGAACAAGCACAACCCAAGATGCACGCCCCCACAGGTGGAGGTGGCTATGGTGCAGGCGGCCACTATGGATCTGGCCAGCAACCCATTTTATTTTATTCTACCGCAAGTACGTGCACCTTGCCCGTTTTCTTTCGAGATTAGCCGAATGATGATGAATTCTTTTGAGAGATGATGGCCACCATATGCGGAACATGAAGATGTGAATTCACGCGCCTCCCTCTATTCTCTTACCAGGCGGGCACGTCCAGCCCCAGATAACGAGCACAGCGCCGCAGGTGTTCGTCTCGCGTCGCCAGCAACAGCAGCAAGCCGCCGCCAGCGCAGCTGCATCGCCTCACCTCTTCCCGCTCCAACAGCCAGGTACGCTCTTCTTCTACACCTCTTCCTCTTCCTCTTCCTACTTTTCTACTTTCTACTTTTCCCACGTTCTTTCCAAACAACTGTGTTGAACGACGCTCGGCCGACTGTGCGCAGTTGGGTGGAGCGAGCCTGCCAGCCAAGCGGCCGTCTACGCGCACCCGCAGTACCCGCCGGCGCACCTGGTACAGTGGTCTCTCTCTCTCTCTCTTCGGGTCGAAGTGGTCGTGGCTGACCCCCGGAACGTGCGGCGCAGGCCTACGCGCAGCCGGGTCCGCGGCCATCTGAGCCGTACAACGCCTATGCCTCGCCCTACCTGCCCCAGCTGTCGGCCTCCCAGCAGCACCAGTACCTGCTCCAGCAGCAACAGCAGCAAATGCTGATGCAGTCCGCCTACCCACCGCACCTCTTCTACGGCCCGCAACCCACCTACTCGCCGCAGCCTCAGCCTCAGCAGCCGCCCGCGCAGCAGCAGCCGCAACAGCCCGCGCACCAACAAGCGTACCAGCAGCCGCCGCTGCAGCAGTCGACACAGCAGCAGCCGCCTCGCCACCAACCGCAGCCACAGCAGCAGCAGCAGCAGATCCCAGGGGGACTCTACAGTCCGATGACTCCTCTGCCGCAGGTCCCCCAACCGCAGCTGCGACAGGACCGCCTGAACGCGCAGGTGCAGCCGGCGGCTGCGGCGGGACCCCAGAGGCACCACCTCCCGGTCATCGCCGAAGTCGCGGCGTCGGCGACTCTCCTCGCGGCCGACGCGCAGTCTAGCCTCGCCGCGCGGCGCCAACAGCGGAGCTCATCATTCAGCGCCGTCGAGCAGGGCGGCTCGCCACTGCTCCAGCAGCCGGCCGTGCCGGCCTCGCCGGGCGCGGCCATCCCGCTCTCGGCCGTCACGCCCGGATCGCCGCTCGATGGC